CGAGAGGGGCCTCATCAGATCCGGCCTCACCTTCAATCAGCGGCGCTCAGTATGATCTCGCGATGATGAAGAAATCGACTGGAAGGACGACAATCATCGTCGGCAAGGACCTATGGGCGTGGCCCCGCACCTCAATTTCCTCTGAGATGGACTTCAAACCTGGTGGAATTGCGTTGCTACTGCAGGTGACCATCTAGAACAACCGTCCGAGATCATGAGAATTATGTTTCTATTTTTTTGCCAAGAAATTATATTTCTAATTACTAAACCTGATGCTTAGTTATAAAAAAACGTGATGACGTCGTTGAAATATATATATGTATTGAGTTTGAGATATATGAATACGAATTATACGTAGTCATTTTAATATATACGTATGCACTTATGAATATTGAATTAATTAATATATTTTATTTTACATGATTATTTGTCGGCACAAGATATATTATAGTTACCAAAGTGACTATGTTTAGTTTAAGATATATTTATGAATAGCTACATAGTTTACATGGCACATGATATCACAACATCATGAACACATTAACTATTGCAGCTTGCTTTGGAAACAGTGAAATAAAACTCTCCATTGAGAGAGACGGTTTCATACGCCAATCAAAGTCTGCAAAGGTGACGTGGCAGTCTTGGAAACTGGAAAATGAAACCCACCACTGAGACTGACCTAATGGTATAGATCGACTAGGTTCAGAAGTTTTATTTTACTGGGCCTACTATCCATTATGAGTAATTGAAAGTGTCACGAATATATATGCGTTGAGATATGCCTCTGTGATATTATATGGAAAAATGTGCTCCTACTACTGCATTATTATATATGAAAAATGTGCTCTTAAACATTATGTTTTCTCCCATGTTGCAGCTACCTATTCTCCCAATTCTCAATTTAACATTATATTAAATTTGATGCTGCCTCGCAAACAGTGGCGGATGCATGATGCGGGATAAGGGGGGCTAAAACAATGGAGATGTTGATTTGCATGAAGATTTAATGGTGAAATCAAGCTTTTGCTACAGTGATTAGTGGTGAAATCAAGCCATTAGGGGGGGCTGGAGCCCCCCCAGCCCCCCCTTTGGATCCGCCCCTCCTCGCATAGCTGATGCTGCGTCGCAGCACCAGCTCCGCGTTTGCTGCATGTGTAAGGGCTTGCCTAACGCTGATTCCAACCTTCTAGTCCTCCTAGTGCGAACATAAGTTAATTTGTTAGTTATCTCTAGGATTTTTGGGAGAATTAGATATATTTTTTATGGTTTAAAAAAGTTATCTAGTGTTTACCAGATTTTTTTTAACTAAAACGGACAACATGGCCGAACTGAAAGTTAGATGATGTAAGATTTATTTCTATCTTTCGAATTGAGAGGAGAGGTGTCGGTCAACAAAAAGTTCAGGGGTCAAATGGACTTCATTCCAGTCTGTATACTTCATACTAAAAAATGTTCATCTTGATTTCGGTTTTCAACTTATACTAATTATACAAATGTCAACTAATCTAGTGCTAATCACCAATTTTGTACGAGAATGAACAGGTGGCATCACGATACGTTTTTTGGGGAAAAAAAAGGACCAAATACCATCTAGTTACTAAGCTACAACTATAAGCCCAACTTGGTACAAAAAATATGAGCTCCCATCCGCCTCTATTGGTACAAAGATCACAGGTATCATCATGATCGGTAGGCCTAGTGTGGTACAAAGTCCATTATATGAGACAGTAGCGGTGTTAGCAGAAACCCGGCCATTTATGCTCCTCACAGATGAGAGGCAGTAGTGCATGTGATCCATCTGTCAGGCATGGCCTAATAGTAATAGTAATAACGTCCGTCCTCCCTCGTTCATCTTGTGCTTCATGCTCTGTGCCCTACACGCCTCGCCTTCAATTCAATCTGCATTATCTACACCTCTACAAAATCCGTGCCCTGCTGCTCTATTAATTAATCAGGAATGCTATACAACACACATGTGTTTTAGTGAAAAAAAAAAACACATGGATTTTTTTCCCTCTCTTTTCACAGGTGTTGCGGCCACCAGCCGCTTCCTGTTCTGGATCACTGCGGCAGCACCGCTTCATGATCGGAGCAGGAGCACTGCGGCAGTAAAAAATTGATTTGTCCTGTTCCGGATCGGAGCGGGAGCACCGCTTCCTGTTCCTATTTTAGTGGAAAAAAAACGATTTGTCCTCTTGTCCTTGTATAGAAAAAAATTGTTTCTTGTGATCTGTAGATCTGTGATCTTTTGATTTGTGATTGTCTGGAGGTAGAAGAAGGCTGGAGGTAGAAAAAGGATGGAGGCTGTTGAATTTTAATTCTATGGTGCAAAAAAAATTCATGTGTTGAAATTACATAAAGCACATAGTTGTTGGTTAGACAGAGTCTTAATATAGCTTTGGTGTTGTACTCCCTTCTCTAGTTGTGTTCCCCTATGGCCCCGTCATTTTTAAGCGCTGGGATACAGTTTGAAGTTTCCACTTCTCTCCCAATTCCTTGTAGTTGTAGAGCTCGCACAGGAGGACTGTGCATGGAATCAATGGAAGCTGGCTGCTTCTCATCATCTGCTGCTTCTATACCCATCACTAACAACCTGCTGCTGCTTGTAGATATGTAGTTTCACAACACGATGATCCATCAACCAAAAACATCTAGAGGAAGTCCTAGCTTATTATATATTTTATTACCCCTGTTTCATAGTTGGGCATGGCAGGTATCAGGATATGCAAAGGTGCGACAGACACTACACAAACCAGACTTGGTCTGTCCATCAGCAGCTAGTTCCTCTCTAGTGAAGGAGAGAATTAAGCTATTTGTTGATGGAATCCGCAACCATGAGGAAGATTGGACCGCGACCCTGCCCACCGTGCACAGGTGAAGTATCACTCTCGGCGCGCTTGCTCTGGAACTACTGCGAACGTCTCTGGCAGGCACAGCCGCCTTTCTCTGCCTCGCCAGTGACCCAGCAGCCACGTCTCCTGTCAACAGACGAGAGAAGACAACAGCGTGTGGAACAAAAATGAAACCGTCGTCGAAACATGTTTGGGCATGTTTGGTTTAAATCTAAGGGCTAAAGTATACGGTGTCATATTGGGTATCACATCGGGATAGTAATAATTAGCATGTTTGTTTGTTGGTTTTAGCTAGGGCTTATCAGCCAGCCAATAGTATTTTTTTCTCACAACAAACCAGCATCAGCCGGACTTATCAGACCAGAAACCAACCAGCGAACAGGCCGAATAAAACAAATTACAGAAGTCCTCGGTACTCCGCGAGACGAATTTATTAAGCCTCCACATTGAAGCCATGGACTAATTAGGCTTAAAAAATTCGTCCCGTAAATTAGTCGTAATCTACGCAATTAGTTATTTTTTAGTCTATATTTAATACTCTATATATGTGTCAAACATCCGATGAAAAACTTTAGGGAGATGAACTAAACAAGGCCTGACCTAACAGGTCTAAACCGCCGGCCCCGTTCGCTTCGCTGAAAAAATAAGCCGAAACACTGTTCCGTCTGATTTGTTGTGAGAGAAAAATACTATTCCGACTGAAAAAACAAGCTGAAAAAGACGGATTATAAAAGAAGCGAACAGGTCCAATTTGTTCCTCTCTACTGCAAACTTGAGTATGTCTTTTTTTTTTTCCTGATAATGGTTTAGAAATGGGAGGTGGCAGGAAATTTGAAGGCAGGAGCCACCCATGGCTGCTAGCACAGTATTCTGTGAGAGAACTCGCAGCCACAGCCACTGCTGCAGCTTCAACTTTAGATTTTACAACTTTTACAAGTGGCATGTTGGAGAGAGAGGGGAAGAGAGAGAAAAGGGTGCCGATGACTGTGACGAGTGCCGTTTTACAACTTTTCATGCCAAAACAGGGCCCACAGCATGCCATAGCAGTAGCCAGTAGGTGCGGAGTATGCCCGGAATTAATTTATATAATAGAGTTGAAGTAAGAAGTTTAAATAGGTATTCTTTTGTACTATCTATAGATGAGTTGGCACTGACGTGGCATGTTATAGATAGTAAACTGTTGCTGGTGCCCAAACCATATGTCTCACAGCTAGCTGCTCCAATAATATGGCTGTGCGTTCTGATGTCTCCTGAGGCGGAAACTTCATTTTATTTTGCAGGCATTTGCACAATTTTAGTCACAAATGATGATTATTACCAAAGTAGAAGACATGAACAAGAAGAGTCATATATGCTTTGCGACTTATAGCCAATATGCGATTTTCTAAATTACATTCTACTGAATAACTAGAACTTTTGTGCAAAATGGCAGGTGATAGTTGTCATAGAATCAACCCATCCTAAGTTCCTAATACATGTGCAGCTCAAAGCCAGATATCTCAAGAAAGTATACTCTCAAGGGCACAAGCTGCCTGAAAGTACAAAACTGGAGCCGGCTCTCCAAATGAATTGCACAAATATCAAAACATGTGGAAATAATCAAATTTCAAATGTGTCGTCATAAGAAAAAATATAAATGCGCCAAGGAACTATCATCAATGTACACCATACAAGGTATTAACAAAAAGACAAAAGACTCTTATAATCCGTCTTTTTCAGCTTGTTGTTTTAGCCGGAACAGTGTTTTTTTCTCATAATAAATCAACCAGAACAGTGTTTCGGTTTGTTTTTCCAGCGAAGCGAACGGAGCCATTAAAGCATAAATATGCCAAGCTAAAAAACAAACGACGCCAACAATATCTATCGCATACAATTTCCTTTTAGTTTTCCTGTTCATTCAGCACAAACTGAAGCAGACAACAACCTTGGTCCGAGTACAGCAACAGAATTCACAGGTATCAATAATCATGATTAGTAGGCTCTCAAGTGAAAACTGCACCTTGGAGAACCAAGAAGCGGTCACCCAATGGGCGGGCCTAGTGTGGTACAGAGTCGATTATATGACGGTGTTAGCAGAAACTCATTCATTCATATATTGCTACAAAATGATAAGTGTGACCGTACAGTGAAGAAACCTCATGAATATATCTAATCTCTATCCGGTGTTGGCATGTGATCTGAACCCCTGCTGCCATCTGTCCTTGCTGGAGAGCCCTTATACCTTGCTATGTTTCGACAGAACCTACATGTGGAATCAGGCAAAGGTAATTAGACCATCTGTAACGAAACAAGAGATAATTCTGCCACGGAGCTCAAACAGCTGGTAAGTAGCCTTGGAGAGGGAAGGGCACATACATATCCAGCTCTTCTTCCTTTCTCTTGATTTCACAGGACCAAAGTACTGGGTCCACATTCTTAGGCAAGGATTCTTGAAGTTGGGACCCCTCCCTTAGCCACTGCTCAGCTTTATTGCACTCATTGTCAACCTAACAGTGACAGGCAAGCCATCATCAGAAACACAAGTTAGCCACAGTAGTATGGTGGTATTATACATGAAAGGTAACTGAAACACTGTTAATCATCAGCCATTGAGTATTTATTCAGTAGTCTAGAGCATTTTAAAAGATCAGTGTCATTCGGCAAAGAAGAATGATATTCCATTTTATTTTATTTTTTTGAAACAAAGGCTGAAGCTCTGCCGCTCAATTAAGACGAAAAAATATTATGTACAAGAATGATACTCCGTATATTCAACTGTGTGGTCTTTTGCAAAATCAATTTGCTGAAACTAGATTAGAACAGTAGACCACATAATTGGATCCTAAATAACTTACAGCATCTCTTTCAGGTGTGGATAATGACTTGGCAGCCATTCTGTGGTCAACAATGCACTTCAAAAGCTCCCTTGTGGCTTCAGCTCTCACTTCGTCATCTTTACAACGATTTTCAATTGGATCTACAAGCTTTAAAATATAAACATAGACATAAACAAAAGTTAAATGAAAAGGTGCAAGAGGTGAAGAGGTAAACAGGACCAGATTCTCCACCATGACTTTGTAGAATAGAATGCCTATTTAGACTAGTTCTGGAATGTTTAATTCCTGACAACAAAAGAATTTTCTTTCACAATTGCTGAGTACTATGGGAGTAGCTACACTACAGGTTCCTGTTTTCTTTACTTTTTTCAGGCAACAAACCTTAACTGTTGGATCAAGATCATGTCGTTCCTGATGTTTCTTCCTCATCCAGACAGCTGTTCATCTTCTTCTCAGTTTCTTCTCCAAGGTCCCTAAGCCCCTGACTACCTCCTGCCTCCTCCAGCCCTGGCAGCGTAACTGTCGCCAGGGCTGTGCGCCACTGTCCCCCGCCATGCTAATCCGGTGGCCACTGTCACCCCTGGCCCGACCCTTCCCATCCGGATGTCTACCGCCACCCACGGCCAGCAGCTATCGCTGCCTGACCCAACCTCGAACCACCAGCAGCAGCAGTGGGCCTACATGCTAACCCCCGCCCGTTTTTAAGTCCAGCAGCCATGAAGCTCCTTCCCCAGCAACCCCCCTCCCCTAACTCCAGCCATTGATGCAGATGATGGCCAATTTGAGCGTCAAAAATTGACGCCAATTTCAGGCGTCTAAACTATAGGAAATGTGGAGTACTATAGTCCAAATACTAAATATTCAAAGGTTCTCACTTTTCTGGATGCAATGATACCATTGATAGCTTTACCATATATATGGCATGTACCCACTGCTTACCCTTCTTTCATGCAAACTTGTTGGGTGGGGGGCGGCATGATAGTCACAACTGAGCTGCCTAACTCAGTGTAAGAACAGCACAAGCCTTTTTTCTTTTTATCTGTAATCTACTAGCGATATGGTATACATCAAAGAAAAGTAAGATATTTCCATGCAACAATAGCCTTTGTACTGGAAATAGCTATTATCTTCATGGAAGTAGATAAGACCACCTTACAGCAAAGTAGAATATGGAATATACCATGACAAATCACAAAACAGCACAGACTGCACCAAGATGTACAGCTGATAGGGCAGTCAAAACAGGATGTGACTGACAAAACCACAAAAGACTACTACACAGGAAAGAACAAAAAAGTATATTTACAAAAATTGGAAAAGATGTAACAAGGCCGAATGCATGCAGACAGAAAGATTGACAAGAATTTCCTTTTACCTTTTTCAGCTCCTCAAGTTTGCTACTGTAAACCGCTTCTGTCTCATCATCACCTTCTTCGTAAAGCCAGTCTTCAGTCTGTTGTAGATTAACTGAGATTTGTTCCCTTTCTGAATCAGTAGCAAAGCTCCGGTACCTCTCAGAGAGCTAGAAAACAATTTATAAGCTAAAAAAAATTAGTTACGGAAAAAAAGTAAAAAGGTTGCAGATCTACCTTGTTACGGGTGTCATATACATAAGATTCTAATGCATTCTTCCTGTCCTTTGTCCGTTCCATAAGTTTATCCTGATAAACCAATAGCTGCTCTTGCTCTTGAGCTTCCAGTAATTCCTGCTTGCTCATTGCACCATAGATGTACTCAGTGATTGGCAACTCCTGCCGCTGGATAGAACTTTCACTTCTTGACTTGTGACCCTGCATATAATAATAACAGTGAGGCACCTCAACAACTGGGTATAATTAACTAATCCTAAGATACCTTATTCAACAAACAGAGTTCATAAGGTTCTTGCACATTTATCATCTTAAATAGTTAAAATGGCACAGTAAATCCAATTGGTATAGAAACAGTGCAAGCAATTCTTGCTAGGTACTACACAATTTACTGCTTATTGAAAACAACGATACAAGAAAGCCAGCTGCTGATGATAGAGGATATACAAGAATATAGTGTGGTAATTTAGGCAAACACATGCCCTAATGGGCTTGTTTTGTGTTTTGAGTCTTCTTAGACTCTTTTTCTTCTTCTTAATATAATGACACGCAGCTCTCCTGCGTGTTCGAGTTTTTTTTTGTAATTTAGGTAAACACACATAAACCCTGCTCAGTATGTGATTAAATAATACCGTGTCATCACCGCTGGTATCCACCTCCATATTGTCAGAAGAATTGGCATTCCTTTGATAATCATCTATCAACTGAGGAAGTTTAAAAAGTTAGGAGTTGTATATATCAAGTGCAAATTATAACCAAAAGCTAGCTATGACTAAGAAAATTGACACTCACAGAAGCAGATTCGACTGAAATCAAACCATGTAAATTCAAACGAATTTTTACTTTGACTTTAGAAGCTTCCGTATGTGCTTGGAATGGGCTAATCTGCAACAAGGATACTTGAATGAATTATAAATAGCATTGTTACCAAATCAAAATTTAGATACTTCAAACAGTGAGACAGTACAACATCATTGAATGAATCACAAGGGATTGTGGCCAGTCATGTGACAGGCATGATTAGCACTAACCAAGCAAAGATTGGAAGTTGATTTATGTTGAGTTAGCATAAATTTTTGGCCTGAGAACCCAGAGTTCAGACTGTAAGAAAGTCGGTAGAGTACAACATTTTTTTGACAAAGCATATTAAAGAATGAACATAGGTACGTACACACACACACATACACACACACAAGACCTCACATAACACAGGTACATGCTTTCCCACTGACCGCAAATGTGTGCATGTACTCTGTACTACAATCAGTTGACACCAACACCGATTCTACTACTCAAATCCTGGCAAGCTGGTTATAAACCCGCAACACTAGCCATCTGGCAACAGGCCACAGTTCCAACAAGAGTTGTATTTGAGTACATTACTGTCAACTAAGAAGACATTATCCAGTCTGTTGTGGCAGATCAAACCACACTTTATGACAGTTGTTCTTTATCGCACATCCCAGTACTCCTTTTTCTGCAAACACATATTGATTCTACAGAATGGATTGACAACATTACCTTCCCAGACAACAGATTTTCTGGAAACACTACAGTTCCAGTGTCATGCTTTTATAAGAAAATGCTCAGATTTTAATTTACAACTGGTGACATGCTAAACTTGAAGACAAACATTTGTGAAGAGACAAAACTGCATAATATAAACCCAACATGGTCATTTGTAAATCGTGATTTACAGATATTTGATCACTGTAGAAGTTTAATCCATTGACCCACCAAGCACAAGTGGCCACAAGGCCCTCAAGTACCCAGCAGAAGACCTATAAGCTATACAGTAACACACCATTCATTTGATAAAAGGCCAGCAACACATGAAAAACTTAGGTGCAAGGGTCCAAAGTTACTTTTGACATTGTAAGATAAGAAAGGAGGTAAGCATTCACAAACATTTATACAGAAACATTGTTGGTGATGAAATGAAGTATCCCGGTATCACAAGTTATAATGATACAGTGCTGATATAGAGGTAATACAATATTATTATTGGAAGAATCAAACAGAACAGACATCTGGAACAAAAGACTATAGTGCGATATTCTTTTATAGATCAACAAGCAAAAAGCATACCTGAAAAGTACCGATGTCTGTTGAGGTACCAGGAGGCAATTCATTTGCATCCGCATAATATGCATCAAAGCTAAAACTGTCGTTCTTCTGTAGAGTAATGATCTTAACACTGGGAAAGGGCAGGCCTCTCCGGAACAATACATCACTTGACAATGTTGAAACTGGGCCATCACTAGTGTAAAATCCTATGGAAGCAGAGATTGCATCCTGCACCTGAAATACAATCAATGCGGCAATTCTCACTATACAGCCAGCAGTCTATCATGCTTCAAATACCACATATATATAGCTTATACAGATGTAGAATTCGACAAGATAAAGTGCAGTCATACCTCGTATTCCCGAACACGGAATGTAGGACTAAGCATTGCACATTGCAATGCGCACCCCCGAGCCACACACTCACTAGCATTGAGCGTGCGACTAGGTTCCCTTCTGAAGAATCCCGCAAGCACCTTGGCAATGGCAGGTACCCGAGAACCTGATCCAACGAGTTCCACAGAATGCAGCCTCTCCAGTCCAATCCCTGAATCTGCCACCGCCCTCTTGCAAGGCTCAACAACCCTCTCCAGCAGTCTGGCACATAGCTTCTCAAAGTCCTCCCTTCGGATCACCCCCCTCACATCCTTCTCCTCCATCAGGCACTCAATGTTCACCACGGCCTCCGCATTCGCGCTCAGAACCTTCTTCGCCTTCTCACACGCTGCCCTCAACCTCATACTGGCCTTCACATTCCCCACGACATCAATCCTGTACCTGTCCCTGAACTCCTCGGCGAAATGCACGAACAGCACCTCATCGAAGTCCCTGCCCCCGAGGTCCGCATCGAAGCCGTGAGACAGCACCTTCATCCCCGACGCATCGAAGGAGACGACCGCGACCTGCGTGTCGCACTGGCCGACGTCGACGAACGCGACGCAGGTGGGGCCCCCGGCGCCGCCGAGGTCGGAGCGGTAGAGGCCGTAGCCAAGCGCGGTGGCGGCGAGGTCGTGCATGAGGCGGAGCGGCCTGAGCCCCGCGACGGCGGCGGCGTCGAGGTAGGCGCGGCGCTGCGCTTGAGTGAAGTAGCAGGGCACGGAGATCACGCAGTCGGCGACGGGGCCGCCGCCGAGGTCGGCCTCCGCGAGCTGCTTGAGGTAGGCGAGCAGCATGGAGAGAAGGTGAGTCGGGGAGAGCGCGATGCGGCGGCCGACGTGGTCGGCGTGGACGACGGCGCCGCCACCGCCACCGGCGGCGGCGGGGGAGACGGGGAAGGGGAGGCGGGGCAGGTCGCGGAGGAGGGAGGAGTCCGGGTCCCTCCCCGTGGCGCCGAGGAGGAGGCGCTTGACGCTGGAGAAGGGGGCGTGCGCGGAGGAGGCGGACGCGGCGTGGCAGCCGATGAGGCGCGCGTTGTGGGAGAAGGCGACGGCGGCGGGGGACTCGCGCTTGGACTCGGCGTTGAGGAGCACGTCGATGCCCCGCTGCCGCGCCGCCGCCGCCACCAGGGTGTCGTTGCCGACGTCGAAGCCGACCACGCTCATCGCCGCCGATTCGGGATTCGATCGGCGCGAATGGGGGAGGCGGGGCCGTGCGATTTGGTGGCGCGGTGGATGGAGATGGAGATGGAGTTGGAGGAGAGCGGTGCGCCGGAGGGTACGGTCCGCGCACGCCGCGGTGAGCTGTTGGGCAAGGAGGAGCCGGCCCGGCCGTGCTTACTCGCCTGTCGCCGACAGGTGGAGCCGCTGCTTTTTGCCTGCTGTGGGGACGTGACGCGGCTCCTTTTCTCTTGGCTCCTCAGTAATTTTGAGCTGCTAATCATCATCATCATCTGTAGTTCTGTTCTGTTATCTCAAAAAAAATGCCTTTTTCAAAATCACTATGCAATGCAGTAAATATTGGCGAATGTAAAAGCGAACTTTTCTGGAGTTTCTAATTTTCAGTGGGATTTGAAAGTTCAACTTTTACATAGATGGAAGGTTGAATTTTTTTTCTCTATGAAGCTATAGGTAAAACCGAACCCGAAAAAAAATCTTTTGGGGTGGGGGGTGGGGGGAAGAGCTACGGAACCGACGGAAATTGACGACCTCTCCCGTTCCGGAGGCCGACCGTGTACGACCTGGCCGCCTCGCGACCGTCTGCCTGCCCGGTGCCCGCCCACTTGCCGACGCCCGGGCTCCGTTCCTGCTACCGCTACCGCCAGACCAACCGGCTCGCGCGCCACCGCCATCTCCGCCCGCGCCCACCTTGCTGCCGCGGCCGTCCCCGCTCCCGCGCTCGCCTCGAGGACCCGAGGGCTGCCCTCGATCTGACCCTACGGGGCAGGATGGACAAGGGGAAATCGGTGGTGGCCGAGCTGGCGGCGTCGTTCAGCGATGTCCGTGTCGCGCCGCGCCAGAACCGCAAGCCCAAGAGCTTCCTACCGTCGCCCTCCTTCTGTAAGCTCCATGCTCTTGTTCGCTTATGTGGGGGTAACTTAACTAACTAATACGCAGTAAATTATCTATCGTGGCTGTCAACTGATGTAGAGAAAAACGAAGAGGAATCGGCTGACTGTGTATTGGTTATGGATGCTTAGAGTTTCCGTGATTGATTTCCTGTGTTGGTGTCTCCTGCAAAACGAAAGATGTATAGACAAAATTAAGAATTTTAGGATGATAAAGCAGTGGTGGGTTTGATTGACTTTACTTTGTAGTATTTGTGTCGTGTGCTTTGCTTTGATCATTCTATTAGTTAATGGTATTTCAGAAATCAGAAAGATACTAAACTCCCACCGATTGGCATGGTCAACCGCCAAGAAGATTACATACCAAAGTTAGTTTCTATTGAACAGAAATTGAAGCCGTGCTAACTAAATTTAAATGAATGAATGGTGCATTGTGTTGATAAACTCATTGAGATTACCCTATCAATTATTGTGCAGACCAGAATAATTCAATCTTACTTAAGATCAGTTTCCAATTGTTCTTGTAATTGCATATGCAGCATTATCTCCAGATATTGACTTCAAAATTGTACTTCAGATTCTTTCTCAAAGAAGGCTAAGCCTCGGAAATTGGTCAGCTTGTGCCTTGGCACCCTTGGTCAGCATCTTGAAGATATCATCGCTGATATTTCAGAATTTGCTGCCTTATTTCCACCCCACATAAAGGTATCTTTATGCATATGTCTTTTGTTTGGTTGTCAATTTATGCATCTATGTCTTTTGTTTGGTTGTCAATTTATGCATCATTGCCTCACTGCCGGAATAAAATGTGCATATATTATACAAGGTTTTTGATTGTTAGATAGAGTTCACCTTTTAGGTTGTAAGCCCAGTTCATTGCCGTGGTGGTGTTCACTAGCTGAAAAGAAAAGTGCATGTTCTTGTAGTTACTTCTAAGTTCGTCAGAGCCCCCCAAAACTGCAACTCTTCACTAGCAAACAGCAAAGCTCTAGCTAAGCTCAGAGATTCATGTCAATATGAGCGTTGTACATTCTAATATATATGCTATTTCCAAACTTTAAAGCACAATTCAACAGCAAACAAACAAAAAATGTAGATGGTCACTTCTTTCGGATTAATGCCCTCTATATTCGTACTTTGAAGCACGAATTACAACTCACAAGTCAACTGGAAGAAAGGAGAGCATTTCGTAAACATATTAATAAGTGTTGGGAGCCATCAGATGAACCGGGGCTGGCCAGGGCATTAACTACTTCTTTGCCCGTGTGCCACTTGAGAGTCATGGTCATGTTGTTTTTCTTGTAATAGGATGTTTTGATTGAACCTCTAGGTGGCGTGGTGTGTGGTTGTATGGATTCTTAATCTTTTCTTTCTTCTTAACATATAATGATATGTGGCTTTCCTGCGTGTTCGAGAAAAAAAACAATAACATTTACCTCAGAAAAACATAGGAATGGTTAATATGATCAGTAGGAAGGGAGGAACTGTTAAAACAAAGGTTGATGTGTGACACTAAGGCTCTTTAACATTATATATGTCCTTCTTGACTTATTGTAGCAACTGTTGTTAGCAAGTTGAGTCAAGCTTTGCATCAGTATTTTTAAGGTTTTGAAGTGACCTGGTCCAGTAATTGCGAAACGATGGTTGTTGATTTAGTTCATATACTGACATCTGATGTCTACGTGTACTTATGCTGTTTATGCGAAACGATGGTTGTTGATTTAGTTCATATACTGACATCTGATGTCTACGTGTACTTATGCTGTTTATGCGTGTTATTGTGAGTTAGTGACAATTGAGTTTTATTTATTGTATGATACAGTTGGCAATTATGTCTATTGCAAGGAGAAGAAGGCTCCTGAATGATGAAGTGTTGACTTCTCTTGCTGAAAGCTCCTGGGAAATCCTAGATATATCTGGATCTGATGTAACTGATGCTGGTTTGGCTACTGTAGCAAATGTTTGTAGTAATTTACGGGCAGTTGATATTAGGTAAGGCTTTGTGCTTTGTCATTTTTTTACTTACTAAATTTTCAACTAAATTTGCATCTTATTTATGGCATCTTTCTCACGCAGTCGCTGTGATAAAATTACTACTGCTGGTGTGTCTGAGATTGTATGCCACTGCCCATCCTTGGAGATATTGAGATGTGGGTATGACTTCCAACAAATTGCATGCATAACCTTAGGGTCAATCAATCTCAATGTACTTTCATGTCTTTACCTTCAATTTCTTTTTGATAAGTATATGAATGTCTTGGTGTTATCCATACCTATTATTTATGGCATCTTTCTCATGCATTCTTGATTTATATGCTATGGCAATACCTGTGCTTGCTGTTTGCTCAAACCAAACATATGAATGCATGGGACTGAAAAGAGAAAATTATGTGATTCTTCACAGTTAACTAACAATAGGGTATCTCTTTTATCAACTGATATGTGATATTATTTTATATGAATCATCAATATTTTTTAAATAATAAATTTATATTTGATCATGTGTGCACAAGTCTACGTGAGTTTGCATTTATGCTAGTGAATAGCCACTAGCCAGTCACCTTGTGTGGGAATTTTCTTTGCTTTTTAGTTTGTCCTTTCCCATGAGGCGAATATAACCTTTCATTGTTGAATTGTTGACTATGCGTTGTATCCCGCTTCCCGCATAGCAGGATACTAAAAATAGCTTGAATCATATGATTGCAGAGGCTGTCCAAGAAGTGAAGTCACGGCCCGGAGGTGCTTGAATCACTTGAAACCCAAATTGAATACTCTTGAAGGGGACTCATGGGAGGAACTTGATACACTAGATATAGGAGGCGGTGCGGAGTCTTTAAGATGGCTTATTTGGGTATGCAATTAAGTTCACTTCTTCTCTAGCTATGATTTATGGTGTGTTCACAATTCACCAATGCTTATCTTGTGTTCAATTACTATTTTCCCCGTTTTGCAGCCAAAGATAGATGATAACTCAAAGGAGACTCTAGCTGCCGAATGCCCTCGTGTAACTGTCAACCCACAGCCATCGCTGTTCGACCTCTCGGGATCCAAAGTCCCAGTTGAAGCATTGGCAAGCGTACCACTGGACCATTCCATAGTTGAGGATATTGATCCCAAAACGTGGGCTATTTCTGCTGCTCCTCGAAGACCTGTTGCTCCACCGAATCCAAATGCTCCGCCTGAAATACCGATAGCAGAAAGGTTCAGGCTGGCCTATGTGGAGAGGGAAGCAAGGCTGGCACCCAAGAGGGCCAAACGGGAAAGGCAGCAGTGGCGCCGCGCTGAAAGGGACTACATGATGAATGACATAGATGCGAGGTCGATCGCACTTGCTGCTCAAGCAAGCAGAAACCTGCGCAAGAGCTGATACTGAACTTTGCTTCTTGTTTATGTTGTTTGTTGTATGTATCTCAGTAAACTAGTTGGCAAACACGATGGGGAAGGGAGACATGAGGCGAGAAATGTTGTTCAATATTTCAAGGCAAAGGCAAAATATAGCATATATGAACAGTTTTGTATTGGGCAGTAGCAGTGGCGTTTATACTATCACATGTACTGGTACGAAAAATCTAAATGTGAATACACAAGTGCAAGGAAACCGTGCCTTGATCAAATCATGAGTTGGTTGCCATTTTGTGCTCCTGCTCCTCTGTATTTCATGCCCCTCTTCGTTTGAACTACTTCAGCGGTATTTTTCAGCGAACGGACAGTGTCTTCCTCCCAACAAATGATCATAAGCTAAATTTCAGCGAACAAACTATTAATATTGAATCTGGATGACATGATTCATGTGAACTAGCTCAGAGGCCTGTTTGGTAGAGCTTCTCTAGCTCTAAATTCTGCGTGGAAGCTGATTCTATCAGAGAAAAGTGTTTCTCTACGATGAATCAGAAGAAACTACTTTCTCTGGCTGACAATTCGTGCGAACTACCGTACACAGTTGTTCAATTCATTTCATGCCAAATAGAACCCTAAATGACGAGCTTCGTGCGAACCGCCATCCGCAATTTTGTTGAAATCTGAATTCGCGTGTGAATCAAATCAAATCAACACACAAACAAAACCTGTACGCACTGGGATCAACAACTCTTAAATTTATACCAAGTCCAGATCCATACAAGAAGCTAGCAGAAACATAAACCGATCCATCTGCACATTATATCTATACCATATAGTAATATCTATCTTAAGTAATAATGACTAGACAAGGGACGAGAACCGAGCGGAAAAGCTACCGCCGCTCAGTGCGCGGCGACCACGTCCGGTGACGCCGCCGCCGCCGGCGCGAACGCGTCCACGACCTCCGGCGGGGGCAGGAACACCACGGCGCGGGCGGCCGCGAGCTTCTTCCGCAGCGGGTAGCGCATCCCCCTCGCGGCCGGCCCGAGGAAGCACGGCACGCCGTCCCAGGCGGCGGCGGCGGGCGCGGGCGCGGGCGAGCGGGGAGGCGAGGAGGGCGGCGGGAGCGGGGGCCGCGCCCGCGCGGCGCAGCGGAGGGAGCGCGCCAGGACCCTGGAGTCGCGGAGCCGCGCGAGCGCGCCCGGGCGGAGGAAGCGGTGCGGGCTGCCGCCGCCGCTGCCCGGGAGCTGCTGCTGCTGGCGCTCGGCCGCGGGGCGGCGCGCCGGGGAGCGGAGGCGGCGGTCCATGGATGGTTGGCGGCGGATCCAGAGGGAGGAGGTGGAGGCGAGTTGGAATTCAGCGCGGGTTTGGGGAAACGGGAGGGGGGGTTTGGATTTTATGACATGAGATGATGGCGGCGAGCGGGTGGAGGGAATTGAAACGATCAAACGAAAACGTGGCCGGGCGGGAAGCGCGTTGGGATGAATCGGATCGGCGGGTGATTTCGAAAATGGGAGGGAGGCGTAGGCGGTTAGGCGCCACTGGACCGGAGACCGGGAGTGGAAGTGGAGTGGGTTCGAGTTGAGGCTTTGCTTTTGGAACGTGCAGCTTTGTTTTCCTACTCAAAATGTTGTATTCTTGGTGCTCAATTTTTAGAGCTTATTTGGTAAGACTTCATGTAACTCTAACTTCTGGTTACAGTGGCCTGATTTTTAGTTTCATTTAGAAAAGCATGGAGTGAACGGTTCTTGCTTTGGCTTTTACTCTCTTCGTTTTAGGAGGGTTTCCTCAACGCAAGCATATTCAATAATTAGCTCTATGAAAATAATGTTCCACATCAACATGTGCAAGAGGCGGATTAAAACCACCAACCCTATGAATATAGACTTGATTCTCACCTGTTGTTACGATGCTTTTGCAGAGCTAAAAAGTTGTAGATATTGTAGTTTTCCTTTCTATCTGCTCCTAAGTAGCCACTCCCTAACCACGATGCATTCATTGTGTCGGACAACGCCACCAACGCTTCTGTATACCATCTTAGGACTCTGCGAGCTACTCTATGTGACTTAGGACACTCAACATAGACATGGAGGCTAGGCAACAATCCACGGTGTTGTATTGAGGAAGCCCAAAAGAATACAATTCTAGGACTTTTTACGAGTAGATGTAATTGTAGCTTCTATGAGTAGATGTGGTATCCCAAAAAGATGTGCTCTATACATGTATGATGCAATAAAGTATAGAGCTTATAGGTGCAATCATTTGTTTTTGTCCCATCAACACATATATAGAATTAAAAGAGTAGAGGTACACATCTTTTTTATTGTGTGTTAATTTCTTCTTGATATGTGAGAATTGTATCTTTTATAGAACGAAGGGAGTGCCTCCATCCATCCTTCTCTTGGTGACGATTCTTACTCGACATATCACCACTAAGCCAATTCATCCAACTTTGCCTTTGACATTCCTCCTATCTTCAGCACCTCTCATCATTACATCCACCTTGATTATCCGTTGATGTGGTGCTCACATTATAGCACCATCCTACTTGTGGTCCTCCACCTCTTGCATCATGTAGCATTTGTTTGGGTGTCACCGTGATGACACCTCCTATCCTATCACTATCTTGTTAGAAGTATAGATAGGTACGACTAGAAACAATCGTACTCCAAGGAGATTTAGAGTCCTACTAGGACATATATCGAGATCTATAGGACATGTACCAGTCGGACTATATAATAAACATAGATGGCAGCCTAAGAGTAAGCCAAACCGTTCTAATTATGTTCCACATGGTAACAGAGCTTGTCCTCACAAATTATCTTTAGCCTCTCCAACCCATACTATTTATTGCTACAAGCAAATGACGTGTCATTACCGGCATATCATCCCCCTCTATCTCACGAAGGGCGTCATTGTAGATGAAGTGGATCACAGCCTTGAACACGCTTGCCTCCATGTCATCGATCCTTATGTGGCTCATCTTGTTCTCCTTCATCCAACCAAAGAGCTCCGCCTTGAACACCAAGGACTATGCAATGAGAATGAGCCTATGTGCGCCGAAGGTCTCTCCCCGTCGACCTCAAATGTGAGATGGTCCCCTTCCTGCGACAAGAGTAGGTGGCCAATATGTTGGTGCATGTCTGACGGTGGCACGACGATGAGGTGCCCAGTGGCCTGTGTGTTGCCATTACTTTTGACTGTGATATCACATTTGACTCTGAAGCGATCATCTATTAGGTAGGGCAATTCCTCCAAGGCTTCCTTTTGGAGCCTGGATGCCCCATATTGGAAGTCCCTCGATGCATGTAATTGTGAAGTCATATCGTTCCCAGATCAGTGATGGCACTAGTTGTCCAGCATGGTTGAGTAAGCTACAACTGACATGTATTGTGACTAGGGTGTCGAATGTGTGAGCGAGTGTGAGATACAGGGATATGTAGTTGGCGTTGATTATTTTGAGACCACCGAGGCAATACATGATAAACCAGCTATAGCCATCGACATTGAACATGCTAGAGTTGAAGAAAGCGGCATTGCTGAGTCCCTTGAACCAGGAGTACCCATCGATCGTGAGGACATGAGACCCCTTCACGCCGTCAGCGAGGACGATGATCGAGGTCGACGGGCTTAGCGCTTGTTTGGCTCCACCGTCGATAGGGCAGCCAGCTGAAGACGACATATCGATCCGGAGTAGATCTTTCCTCGGAACGGTGGGAAGAAGAACAACGCAGTTGTTGCGCACCCTCGCTAGATCGATCTATAGATTGTTTATCTACACAACTTGCCATAGACTTGCATCGTTTGATCAAATCTTCTGCTCGCACCACCCTGGGGAGATCAATCTTCAAAAGCACCTTGGGGCACCACATGAGTTAGCTAGCTAGCCTCCCAATATATCAAAGATTAGCTTACATCAGTTTTTTATTAGTTACCTTTTCAAATCGTCATCGTACGCCAAGAACGTCTCCCGTTGCGTTCCACGCCAAGACCAAAGGCTTCCCTATCAAAAAGAAAAAAGACCAAAGGCTTCCTACACATACACCGCTTGCTACACGCATACACATCGATGCTCTGCTGGTTGCCGCACTCCCGCTCCACGCCAGCAAGTCGTAGATCTGGCCAAGTTCTTCTATTTCACCAAACTGTTGGACACGGTGACATGGTGGCGGTCAATACATGCTCGTGGCCGTCCGTGTGCACGTGATGAATAAGAGCAAAGAAGCAAAAAAAAAAAGGTGGAGACGGTCCCCATGAAGTAAACATGGACACCTACCGTGAATTTTCCATTCAAATTGAGGGTTCTTTTTTCTAAATTTTTGCTAAAAGAAATCAACTGAACTGATAGATTTTCGTCCAATCCGATAACTGAACGAGTTTATCAGTGACCTCCGTTCTTTTCCCTACACGCAATGTAAAGTCTGGTTGAAAGGTTAAGGAAGCTATTGTTCTGCCCAAGTAGCTCTCCTTTGTAACACTCCCTTTGTTTAGGAATCAAGCTTGATGTCTGGAAGTTCCTTCTTGTTGACAAATGCCTGCAGGACTGGATCGTCTAAGAAGCATGACCTCAAATCCAAGCAAAAATTGGAAAAGAAGTTCAGCTTTTACACAATTAGGTGTGACCCTCAGTTGAGTTGGTGATCTTTTACTATATGATCCTCATTTATAGATTCCATTATGCTGTTCATGTCATCTGTCTTTCTTTACCTGATCATGCATGTATAAGCCAGAAATATGTAGGTAGTACAGTGTTGAGGATTAAAAGTTTAATTGTTTGGAAGAACTGACTGCTGTGCTGACGTTATTGATGAAGGAATTGGCTTTTGGTATAACAACTTTGTCCTACTGTTGAATATATTTTCTTGCCAATTCACTAAAGAAGAATGGAAATTGCGCCAAATAATTTGCACGATTTCTTTTAGCAAAGTCAGTACAACCCGGGGCTGCATCGTTCAGCCAAGAGACTCAAGTGCTTAGGCATTTAGGGGTTAGTTTACGGTTGCAAATGCCCTCTTATAGTTTCAACCCTGCATGCAGCAAATGAGAAAATGTTGAAGTAGCCTTCAGAAAGCGAACAATGCAAATATATATAGTGTTCTTTTATCAGGTCAATATATGTATGGCTATCCAACTTGTTAAAAGAATCGGTCAGCTCTACACCCCTTAAATCCTCGACTGCCACCAGCGGACGCTGAGTAAAATCGCAGCCTTCTCCAGTGGTCTTGCGTAATTGTAATGAATCAGACACATTCTTTGCACAATGTACAGATACACAACACAGAGCACTTTGATTAGAAAGAAGCAGTCAGCAGCGCCTTTTCATCTTCTGAACACTTCTTATGAACCCCCCCAGATGTTCTGCACAGAGTTGCAGATACCACTGCATTTCCAATCGAATGAGGCGGCGCAGGTGTTCCCAGCCGGAGCTTTCCATTCGCAATATGCGATCAAAATCGCCATGCGCGGGGATATTATTGTTTTTTCTTAGCAACTTTAGCCGTGGCTTTTGAGAAGGTAATGTAAACCCTCAAGTAAATTGGACAGTCAATATGAACTCATTCTGGTTACAGAAAATAACAGAAGCTCACCAGGTGGAGTACCGCAGCATAGTCTGCGGTCATCAATATGCTCAACATCTAACCCTATCAACCAAGCTCCCAAAGACACATCCTCGTTGATATACTTGTGCAAAACATGCCTGCGATTACTGAATTAGCAGAAACAATTTTAGTATGGTTGCAACGAAATAGGATTGGAGTGGTGTCATACTGTCATATTCCGAGAGAAAAAACTAGATAGGGTATATCTCACTTGTTTAGCGATATGTAGGCTGCCAAATCTTTTGAAATAGCGTATAGTTGACCGGTGGCATGCCGAAAATATTTGTTACCCACTTCCCCAAATTTCCAGTGCTCAGGTTCATAGTACCTCACATCCCTGGATAGCAGCAATCTCATTGTAACAACTGGCAAAAGCAAGTAGTCTTAAATACTAACAAACTAAAGAGACTGTTTTTCTTTACTTGTCAGAGAGGACAGGGCCAGACTTCATGCATCCAATGTATACCCTGGGCTTTGAAATATGTTTGGATAAGATATTTCCAAGTGTTGCTGCAAACGTGAAATTGTCATGTTAGGAATATAAAAAGACAATTGGTGGGTGCATGAGCCTTCGATATGTAACAATCAAAAGTTCAACACTTGACAAACTTTTCCTTGTTCCTTTGAAATTAACACCTTAAACAAAGCTTCAGATCAGCAAACAAGTACTTGGCACCTTAGTAATACCTGTAACTATCCTATCAAAGGAAATATTTTCCAGTAGCAAAAGGACAACAATAACAGGCACTGGTTCAAAAATTTAATACCTATATTAACATGTACATCGTCGTCAACCTTCACATAGAAGTTAGCATCCCATAAAGCAACAGCTGTTGCAAAGTATGTCCTGGTTTTCCCAGACAGTTCAAGGCATCCTTCAACATGATCCTAATCCAAGTGCACATGACTAAAATTAGAGTGAAAAAAAGTATAGAAAGTAATAATGACCTCAAAACTACAGTCCATATATGGATCTAGAAGGCAATGGGGGTAGCAAGTAACTATTAGTGAACCAAGTGAAACCTTACCAGCCTCATGAAGTCTCCATGTTTCTTATCCTCTGCCTGAATTGCTCTATCGACAATTCCACCTGAAATAGCACTGAAAGAGGGCATAGACGAGCATTACTTGCTTGTGATGCAGTAAACTAAAATGGGAAATTATCTTTTGAGTGGATAAAGAAAAAAAAAGTGTACAAGACTTCAGGCAAACAACACAAGAAAGTAAACAGCAACAAGCTCTTTGTTGCTCCAGTGCAATCAATAGGTGTCCCCACCTCTCCACACCCTCCCCCCCCCTTGTTATCCACCACAAAAAAATGGTAAAGAGGACTTTTCCCCAACCTATAGACTAATTTGTTACCAACATGTTCTTTGTAGTATGCCACATTTTGCTGATATCTACAAAATTTAACTTTGCCATACATTGATATGTTAGAAGCTTTATGGGTCCAGATGCTAACAAAACCAAGTCACATGGAAAATAGGTAGAAAAAGATATTGCCATTCAAATAAAGAGTTAGTTTTATGGTACAATGAATGAAACAGATTTATTCATACTATGGTGGTATATCTATACTGCATGATAGGGGTTACCACTATCATTCTATCAATTATGCTCATGTCTGCTACAAAATTTTATATGCCACTGTAGTCCTGTTTTCATTGAACCTGGTAACATAAGGGCATAAAAGTTGCATCAAGATCAATGGGCCACATGATAGCAGGGTTTCAAATATTGATAGCAGTCAATCTATCTATTCAATACCTAGAGAGGCATCAAGGTATTTAAATGTTGAAAATACTTTAAGGAAATAAAAGGCAAGTAAGTGCATTACTCTGCCTACATTACAGTCTCCAGTCTTACGCTCAGCCTCTTCCCCTCTTCTTAAATTTGGTACTTCTACCTCATCTGCTTCAGGCAAAGTCCACATCCTGGAGAAAACATTTGTCAAGATCATGATTCCAAGAAATTTTAGCTCATCGAAGAAATCGCATGCTGCAAGCCTGCAACCAGAGTGAAATCAAGCCAAATAGGATCGGATTGAAGCAACAGGTGACTGGGTTACAGAGGGCTGTATGATCCGCACTAGCAATCAGCTCAAAGCAAAAACACAGCAGCTGGCTCCATCGCTGTAGTACGCGTTAGCACTGAACAATCCAAATGTGCAGGGTCGTTGACACACAGGACTCAGCCTCAATACGTGAACAAACGAGCCAGCATAACATCCCTGACAAAGCCTGAATTCTTGAAGCCGTGAGCAGCTGAGCACTTTCAGGTGCCAAATTGGCAACACTCCCGAATGATTAAGGGAACTGAAATCCTGCCGCTCACGACTCGCGACTCACGAGTTGAGGTAAAATGAATAGTGCGGTCCAAGTCCAAGCAACCTAACATTCCCCCTGCAGCCCCAAACCGCAGAATGTAGCTGACCAGAAACCCACAGATCTTAGGCACATCCATCCTTCCTAGGAGCGTGCAGAACGAGGCACAAGTCTCGAGAGGATGAACTCGCAAAGTCAAGATCTCAGGGAGCGCTGGATTGATTGTGTACTACGTGTACATACCTGTCGGTGAAGAGCAGGCCGAGGCAGAAGCTCCCGACGCAGAGCAGCAGCACCCACCTCCTGGCCACGCCATCCGCGCCTCCTCCCCGGCTCCAACTCATATCCGCCGCCGGCGCGCCGCCGCCAGCAACCTCCTCCTCCTCTCAGGTCCCGCGGCAGCAGCAGCAGCAGCAGGACATGGACGCCCAGGAAGGAGGAGGCCATGCCCTCGATTCTTTAATCCCGGAGGTGGGAGGCCGGAGCGGAAGCCGCCACGGTCCACGCGCCGTCCGTTCCCTCTCCCCAAGAAGCCATGGCATGAGACCCATGTGCGCGGGCGGGAGGCGGCCACCGACACTGCAGGGGCACCGTACACTCTCTGCTGCGAGTAAAAATTAATGGGAGGCTCGCCACGCCCCGTGTTGGCTGGACGTATCGGAATCGGAGGGAAGCGACAAGCGAGTGTGATATGGAATTGCGGCGGCGGCGGCGGCGGCAGTGCAGTGGAGGACGCGTCGGATTCAGAATCCAGACTGTGTGGTTGCGGTAGGCTGTAGGCACTAGGCTAGCCGGTACAGAATGGCAGGTCGTGCCGTGCGCCGCCTTCCTTCGAGCTCCGCCGCGTACGTACTCGCGTGGGTGCCAGTGCAGTGGCTCACGGAGACCAGGCGGGTGCCGGGAAGGAAAAAGAAAAAACTGTGGAACGCCTGTGAGCCGGGACGGCCGGCCGGACGGGGTCACCGCCAGGAACGTGCCTTGCGCGACGAGCTCGGCGCCGAGCTGCCTGCCAAATCAACGCCACGTGTCGAGCCTAAGATCTCGGCGCTAGGGACGCTGGCGCTGACACGTGTCATCTCGGCGCCAGCATCGATGACGCCGAGCTAAAGGTCCAGATTCTGAAATCTTTCCGCTAGAGACGTATTTGCGAAAAACTTTCAAAAAAAGAGCTAAAAAGTAAAAAAATTGGGACCTCGGTCTGCTTCACCGCGAGTCCGTGACTCCGTGAGCGAGCGACAGCGGTATCCGTACGCTGCTGGATGTGAATGTGGATGGAACGGGACGCCGTGTACCTAGGCTGGTGCCTACCACACCGTAACAAAACTTGGGCGCCTTCTGTGTATACGTCATATTCTTTTGACTTATAAACTATACTTTTTCAGTCAACAAATATTATTTTTATCTCGTAATAAATCAGCCAACAGATCAGCCACGCGAGAAGGGCAATAGATGGCCATTCGTGTTGGTCATCGGCATTCGGCAGGTGACGTCAACTCCTTCCAAGTGGGCGTGGGAACGGAAGTACCAACATTTTGACTGGTTCAACAGTGCTGTTTTGAACTAAATAATTTGGCAGTTAAATGATTTGGATGCAAAGTGGGTCACTAATTAAGAGTATGTGCCCCCTCCATTCTAAATCATAAGACATTTTTTTTTCAAAAGATATATTGTTTTTTATAATACATCTAGACACGGTGGATATCTACGTGAATATTAAAAGTTACACGTACAAAAGGCAAAACGTCTTATGAATTAGAAGAGAGGGTACAATGTAAAACATTTATACTTGTTACGTCAAGCATCCATATAACTATGTGAGTTTCATCCTCCAATGAAAACAACTATTGCATAGCTGTAGCTGTTTAATTTTTTTAGATAACGCCAAATGTATAATTCCAGCCTCATCCATTCACAATTCAGTGGATATGGCCTGTTATAGATGTTTAAATACATAGTTAAAAGCATTTTGTACGTAGGAAAGTCAAAACATCTTAATTTGAAATGGAGGATATAGTTGTTTTAGTTCGCCGGTCGCCACTATGGCGCTGCATGTGTTAGGGATTTGGGGAGGACATGAAAGGATTAGTGTGGTGTGGGGCTAATTTTTTTAATTGAAGAAAGGGCGGTCACATGTTTGATCATTGGATAAAGACGACTAAGAAGGAAACGAGACACTACACTATATGTTCATGGGTTACATAAAAGTAGCAAAATTGATGTACCAAAAAGGTCAAAGTGACTTATAATTTAGAACGGAGGGAGTAGTAAATTACTCCCTTCGTTTTAGACTATAGGTTACTTTTGTTTTATCAAACTTCTTTTAACTTTTTCTAATTTTATAAAAAAATGCACCAAAATCATCAATAGTATTGAATTAGTTTCATTGAATTCTCAATGAAAATATTTTGATAGTGCATTTTATTTGAACTTGTAGGGTTAATATATTTTTTTCCTAGAATTGTCAAAGTTAGAGATATTTGACTTAGAGCAACACTAAACTATAGTTTAGAAACGAGGAACTAGTAGCAAATTAACCAAGCTACATGGCCCTTCTTCTTCGGCCTATTGATAATCAATCCACCTGATGATATGTAAAGGTAAAAAAATTGTACCCCTTCCCCCTCCTCACTCCGCCATTATAGTTGTTCCATCCCCATATTACATTTTTAGAGATTTTTACCTACGCTCTACTAAAAAAGATTAAAATTCCATATCATCCACTAAAAAAGATTAAAAATCCATATCTTTCATAGAAAAGTTGAGGATAACGTGGCACTACCAAATTTCTCTTATTACCTCTACATGTCACAGTTGTCAGCTTTGAGGGTAACTATAGCTAACTGATGCATGAAAATGTGACTTTGCTTTAGGTTGAGGTCACATGGGATATTTTCATCGTTTCCCTGCTCGGCACTCGAATGCCACATATTTTCTCTCTAATACGCCTCCATCCCTCTTACCTCGTGCGACCATGTCTCCTAGCCGCGCTCATGCGCAACCAACTTCACCTTGCACACTCTGTGCCAAGTGTGTGCGTCACCACCTCTCCCTCTCTTCCCTGTGCTAGCGTCCCTGTGTTGCATGCTCTCTCTCTCTCTCTCTGATTGTATGGAAAAACCACATGGGCCGCAAAAAAACAAGCACCTACCGAATTATCATCCTAAAAAGTTTAACTGATTCTTGTAGTGTGGTCAATCCTTGTAACCAAATGCGGATGTAGAAACAAATACTAGTTGGGGCTCCTTCTCATCTATACATGTACTCCCTTCTTGTAGGCTTCCATGGCTACAAATTTATACACAGGGATTTAGGATGGGCTCCAAGTTTGCGGCAACCAAAGGAGGGGGCTCGAACCCTAGTTGAACTTCTCTCTCTCATCCTCTCTAATAATGCAAAATCAATCCCTTCGTTATTACCTCACATAACTCCCTCGCGTGTGTTGTTTGTAACAATAATACACAATCCACCATCTTGATCTCCTCCATTTGTCCTCTCTTATTCTCATCATTATGTGAATCTATGGCTAAACACAAATCTTAAAGCAAATATATTTTTTCTAAAAAATCCACCATCTTGATCTCATCTAGTTGTCCTCTCAACCGTTCCTCATCATCACTTGTGAATATTGGCCAAACACAAATCTTAAAGGCATTTTTTCAAAACAAAAAAAAAACTAGTACTCCCTACACATTATCTAATTTTGACTAATTATTAACAACCAACATTAGATATATGGTGATCCTCATTGTATATATACTCCCCCATGAATATAGCGATGATCCAATTCATCTAGAAGCTGCAGATCGATGCCTAAAGAGAATGAGCGAGAGAGTCGTAGGCTGGCTACATAGCCGGACACGACTCTGGACAGGGTGGAAGCTCCTGCGATCTCGCCGATGCCATGCAACGGCTCTAAACAAAAGATCATATCTTTCCGCACGCAAACACCATGCACGCCAACCGCAGCCGCGCGAAAATAGGCGCGGCGACGAGCGCTTCCCGGGGCGATCCGGGAGCTGCACCGCCCACCTCATCACCCTCCCCGCTCCGCCCAGCGCCCCCGCGCTCTGCCGCCATTACCACGCGGCCTCTCCCCCTTCGTCTTCGTCTTCCCCATCCTTCCCTCCGCCGGCCCAGGGGCGGAAGGCCGTCGCCCCCCTGACCACCACCCGCCGTGCCCGTTCTTCCCAGCTACAGCAACCCGCCGGTGCGCGCGGTTGCGTCGCATTTGCATGGCTGCTCGCTGCGCTCCGGCCTAGGCACAGGGCATCTTTCGCGTGCGTGCGTGCGTGGTTGTCGAGGAGCTCCGATCCGTCCGATCCTCTCCCAAGCCCATTCGCCGGAGGAACTGACAGCCGTCGTCTTCTCGCTCTCTCGCTCTCTGCCCTGTTCCCGGGGCTGAGAGGGGAGGAGAGAAGGCCACGACTAAGCTGGAGGACGGAATGACGATGGCGAGGAGCGGCGGCGGCGGCGGCGGGGTGGAAGGAGGTAGCGGCGGCGGTGGCAGAGGGCTGAGGAAGGGGCCGTGGACGCAGGCGGAGGACAAGCTGCTGGTGGACCACGTGCGGCGGCACGGCGAGGGCAACTGGAACACCGTGCGCCGGGACACGGGGCTGCTGCGCTGCGGCAAGAGCTGCCGCCTCCGGTGGGCCAACCACCTCCGCCCCAACCTCCGCAAGGGCCCCTTCTCCCCCGAGGAGGAGCGCCACATCCTCCTCCTCCACGGCCTCTACGGCAACAAGTGGGCGCGCATCTCCTCGTTCGTGAGTCCCTGCCTGTCCCAGCGTATTGTTCAGATTCTTTCGGGGAATTCCGATCCGCCATGCACGTACGCGTGAAGAACTCATCGTCGTCTTTCTTTGTCTTCGACCGATCGCATTCGCATGCATGCAGCTCCCAGGGAGGCCGGACAACGAGATCAAGAACTACTGGAACACGCGCCTCAAGCGCCGGCAGCGCGCGGGCCTGCCGCTCTACCCGCCGGACGTCGAGCGGGAGATCGCGTTTCTCCGCGCGCACAACGTCAACCCATTAGCCGACGCCGACGCCAGCGCCCAGGCCCACGCCAACGCAAGCCTTCAGCCGCTGCCGACGCTCCTCTACGACGCCGGCAACCCGTTCGTCGCGCTGCCGCCCACCATGCCGTCGCCGTCGCCCACGCACTCGCCGCTGATCAACCAGAACTACCCGCTCCTGAACCAGATGCAGGTGTTCCACCACCTCGGCAACAGCCAGCAGCAGCAGCCGGCGGCGTTCCACCATGACGGCGGCAGCGCGGCGGCGGCGTTTGGCAGCGGCATCGTCTCCTCGGGCCTGCCGCCGCTGCCGACCGCCGCCAGAGCGCAGGCGGCCGAGCTCCCTTCGAACCAATTCGACACCTCCAGCAGCGGCAGTGGCAGCGGCAGCGTGGGGCTGCTGGAGTCGATGCTGATCGGCGACGAACACCTGCTGCTGCGGCCCAACCCGAGCATGGTCAAGGTCCCCTCCATGCCCGCGCTCTCCTACCGCGAGCCGGCCGGATCCAGGCTGCTGCCCGCCCACGGCGCCGGCAGCGACGGCGACGTCACCTCGCACGCGCACGCGCACTGCCCTCCGGGAGAGGACATCCACCATGGCGCGACATGGGACTTCACCTTCGGTCAGTTCTTGCTCAGATTGTTGCTCCCCGAAAAGAAACTGACGCCGATCGTCTGACAATGTCGTTGCATGCATCGGGAAACCGATGCGTTTTCAGAGGCCGTGGAGCCGGCGAAGAGGAGGACGGCGAGCGAGGTGGGGATCTCCGACATATTCGCCATCGCCCCGCCGGGGGATTGGTTCGGCTTCGGCACCTGCGGCGGGTCGACGGCGCCGTCGCCGGGGCCGTCGTCGGCCGTCACCGACGAGGAGTTCACCCTGGAGATGCAGCAGTTCATGTCATTGCTACCACTGTCGATCGACGAGCACGGCTGGAACGCATAATGCGGCGTTTGCTTTGCTTCTGCGACAAGAACAGTGTACGCATTGTTTTTGTAATGATTCTATTCTTGGATCTTTATCTGTTCTAGACGTCAATCGAGTTTCAAACATGTTGATGATATTGCTAGGGCACCATCGGCGTGGGAAAAAGTGAAAAACACCCAATAGTCCATGCATACAAAAATCACCTGCAGCGATGCAATCAGGCTCTGTGCAGAAACGCACAAGTGCACGACGCTGATAGACATAGACACAGATATAGTTAAAAACTTTCTATACATGATCTATAGAGACAGAGGAAGGAAGATGAGATGTCACCGACCATCCGCGGGCTTAAAGAAAGAGCTCGACGTAGCCATGGCGAATGTGATGCGGTCCGGGTCGGCGGTGTCGCGGTGACGGTGTTGAGGTCAGTCGCAGTGCAGTGGTGGCGCAGAGGCGACGGTGAAGACGACAGTGGAGCTTCCCGTTACTAGATGCGCCCCTCACTAGATCGGATTGAGATTGTTGGTGGGTGCGGCGGCTTACGGTGAACCTCGTAGTAAGAGCCGCTAGCCCCTACCTCTCTTTATAGCGTAGTACGACAGGGGCCCACTAGCCATGTAGGGTTGGACGCTCTCGATCAGGGCGCGAGGTCAAGGCCCAACTCGGCCATTGGGCCGAGCTAGAGAGATCAACACTAACAATCTCTCCTTTGATCTCATCTTATTACTTAAACTTAACTTACTTTATCTTTTTTTCATTCCATCACAGATCGGTGCATAGAGCATGCCTTATCGTCACAGTCAGTGCCATTAGATTAACAGCTACAATGCCCCTCTCTGTTTTGAAACAGATTCTCAACTAGGCCCTTATTGTCCAGGAATCATAAACTTTCCCTTAAACCCATGCCGCCTAAGTGTTCTCTAAACACGTTGGGTGGTAAGCCTTTTGTAAGCGGATCCGCGAGCATCTTTTCAGTATTATGTGCTCAAGACTAATTATATGATCCCGGACTTTATCTTTCACAACATAATACTTTATGTCAATGTGTTTGACAGCACCACTTGACTTATTGTTGTGAGCATAACATACTGTTAGATTATTATCGCAGTATACCTTGAGTGGCTTATGTATGTCGTCTCCCACTTTCAACCCGAACATGAACTTCTTCAGCCAATTCGCCTGCCCTGTGGCCTCATAACACGCTACAAACTCGGCATACATCGTAGACAATGTAGTGACGGTTTACTTAGAGCTTTTCCACGATATACCTCCTCCTGCGAGAGTAAATATATATTATGACGTGGACTTTCTATCATCTCCCGTATAATCTGAATCTAAATACACCTCTATGTGTAGGAAATCAGATCTTCTGTACGTTAGCATGAGCCTTTTTTGTGCCTTGCAAGTAACGCAAAATTTTCTTTACCAGTCTCCAATGTTCTATTCCTAGATTACTCTGATATTTGTCAAGTAGCCCGGTAACAAACGCTAAGTAAGGACGTGTACACACTTGATCATACTGTAAACTTTCGACAGCTGAAGCATATGGAACCGTTTTGATTTGATTGATCTCATATTGGTTCCTGAAACATTGGAATTCCCCAAATCTATTGCCCTTGACTATGGGAGCAGGTGAATGCTTATAATTTTGCATACTGTATTTCTTTAGAACATTTTCTAAGTATGTCTTTTGTGATAATCTAAAACCCTCTTTCTTCTATCTCGGTAAATCTCTATTTCTAAAACGAATGAAGCTTCACCGAGATCTTTCATGTCAAAATTTGAGGACAAGAACTTCTTCGTCTCTAGTAGTAGATTAACATCACTACTAGCGAGTAAGATGTCATCCACATACAGGATTAGGAAAATGTATTTTCCATTCTTGAACTTTGCAGAAACGCAATTGTCCTCTACATTTTCTTGAAACCCAAACTTTTTTATTGTACTATCAAACTTTAAATATTACTGTCTTGATGCTTGTTTTAATCCGTAAATAGATTTCTTCAGGCGGCATCCCATACGTTCTTTTCCTTCTACAACAAAATCTTTTGGTTGTGCCATGTAAACATTTTCCTCCAAATCTCTGTTTAGGAACGCCGTGTTTATATCCATCTGATGTAATTCTAAATCGTAATGTGCTACAAGCGCCATTATAATTCTAAAAGAATCCTTACATGAGACTGGAGAAAATGTCTTATTATAAACTATGCCTTCTCTTTGCGTGAAACCTTTCACCACAAGTCGCGCTTTAAATCTTTTTACATTCCCTTTGGATTCATATTTAGATTTGTTGACCCATTTACAACCTACTATCTTGGCTCCTTTAGGAATTGTTTCTAAGTCCCAAACACCATTGATATTCATTGATCTCATTTCATCTTGTATGGCTTCAAGCCACTTTGATGAGTGAGAGCTTCTCATGGCTTCTTCAAATGAGGTGAGATCACCCTCTATTTGAAATTCTTCACATTCATAGACTTCGTAGTCATTAGGAATGGCTGGTTTCCTAACTCTTTGAGACCTTCTAGGGGCCTCGTTCGTTGACGCTTGTTCTATATGAGGCTATTGTTGCTCTTCCTCATGTGTGACAACGGGTTCTAGAGGATCCTGAAGGACAGGTTTCTCATGTTCATTCATTATCGCCACAGGAGAACTAACAATATGTGCTATTACTACAGTGTCTTGCACTGTTAGTGCAGCAACAACATGTAGCGTGAAGAATGGCTCCTGAGCCATCGGAGTAGGCACATATACCCGCTTCTCCTCTAGGTTAATTTCTCGCTCTGCCATGCTCCCCCTAATCAACTCTTCCTCCAAGAACACAACATGTCTTGTTTCTACAAACTTCGTATGTCTGTCAGGACAATAGAAGCGATAACATTTTGACTTTTCTGGATAGCCAATGAAATGGCAATTGACTGTCTTGGAGTCTAGCTTCCTTGTGTTTAGGTTAAAGACTTTAACCTCAGCTGGACAACCGCACACACATAAATAGTTAAGTGAAGGTTCATTTCCTGTCCACAACTCATATAGTGTTTTGGGCACTGACTTGCTTGGCACTCGATTAAGAATATGAATGGCGGTTTTTAATGTCTCCATCCATAAAGTTATCGATAGAGTAGAGTAACTTATCATACGTCTCACCATATCCATTAAGGTATGGTTGCGTCTTTCAGCTACTCTATTCTGTTAAGGCTCGCCCGGTGTAGAGTACTAGGCAATTATACCATTTTCTTGTAAGAACCTTGCAAAAGGTCTAGGAACTTGGCCATATGGGGTGTGTCGACCATAGTACTCCCCCACGGTCGGATCTTACAATCTTAATCTTTAAATTGTGTTGATTTTCTACTTCAGCCTTAAATATCTTAAATTTATCAAATGCTTCTAATATTTCCTTAATTGGATAAATATAGCCATAACGAGAATAATCATCTGTGAATGTTATAAATGAATCATAACCATCCACACTCTTCACAGGAAAAGGACCATAGATGTCTATGTAAATTATTTCTAAAATTCCTGCGCTTCGTTTGGCATCTTTCTTTATTTTCTTAACATACTTTTCTTTTATGCAATCAATGCATTGTTCTAAATCTGAAAATTCTAATGGCGAAAGAATTGATTTCTTAATCAATCGCTCTATTCTCCACCTCGAAATATGGCCTAAACGACAGTGCCATAATCTTGATGATACATCATGAACTCTCTTTCGCTTATTTCTTGCATTCATAGACGAGGAGGCATTCTCATTCTCAGTGCTCACAACATTCATATTCTCAGAAAGTGATAAAAAATAAAGCTTGTCTTATCGGAAGGCAAGACCAACACACTTATTATTAAACACAATCTGACATTTGTCATTACCAAAATGGCAATCATATCCATCATCGTCTAGACATGAAACACTTATCAAATTTCTATGTAAAGAGGGTACATAAAAGACATCTGAAAGCTGAAGTACAAAACCATCATCTAGTTCTAGAGAGAGATCTCCAATGGCTTCAACTTCAGCTTCAACTCCATTTGCTACTTTAATTTTTCTTTCTCCTCTTTGTAGGGTCCTCCTCGTATGGAATCCCTCTCTTCAAAAGGCTCTTCAGGAAATATGGACAGTCCTTCTGATAATGTCCATGCTTCTTGCACCATTTGCATTGATCCTTGTCAACTTGGACATTGTTGTTCTTCTGATGGTGATCATTCTGAGGGGCTTTTCCTTGTGGTTTGGCATTCTTGTTAAAGTTCTTCCTTTTATTGTCCTTCACATGGTTAGCAGAGTCACCATGTGAGCTTTTAAGCCTCTCCTCTTCTTGCACACACATGGCAATGAGCTTCTCAATGTCCCATTTATCGAGCTGCATATTGTAATTAACAACAAAAGTTTCATACTCTTTGGGCAAATAAGCAAAAACCAAATGAATCATCAACTCATCTTTGAGCCCCAAATCCATTGGCTTGAGCTTGGACGCCGTGTTGCTCACCTTCAATATGTGCTCTCTTATCCCTCCACCAGAGTATTTCTCATTGAATAACTTCTTGATCAGGGTGCTTGCATAAGCCTTTGAAGAGCCAGTAAACTGACTCTCTACTTTCTTGAGATACTCGGTGGCGGTGTGAAAGCTCTAGTTTGGTTTTGGTTAATTGATGAAACCCTAAGTGCTAACCTAGTTTATCAAAGTGATTATGAGATAGGTAGCACTACTCCAAGTGGTGAAGCAAATGAAGATCATGATATGATGATGGTGATTCCATGGTGATAATCAAGTGCTTGAACCTGGAAAAGAAGAAAGAGAAAAATAAAAGGCTCAAGGAAAAGGTATAAATAGGAGGAGCCATTTTGTTTTAGTGATCGAGACATATAGCGAGTGTGATCACATTTAGGATCGATAGCCGTACTATTAAGAGGGGTGAAACTCGTATTGAAATGTGGTTATCAAAGTGCCACTAGATGCTCTAACTCATTGCATATGCATTTAGAATCTAGTGGAGTGCTAACACCCTTGAAAATGTTTATGAAAACA